TGTTGTGTCCAATGAAGAGCCTCAGATGTCTCCATACATCTCTTATACAGCAGCAGCAATGTCCACTATCTTTAGTGTGTAAAGCTGCTGCTCTGGGTCCATGTTGATTTTCTGAAAGGCTGCGGCTACATATTGCATGTATTTACTATATTAAACATATTTATAAAATCGTATTTTAAATTTTAAAAAAGGTTAAATGTGAAATTTTTAATAAATGCAGATAAAGGATAGAACCGTTCTATGTTACCAGGATGAATCAAGATAAACTAATATGTAAAAAAAAGTCCGAAATTTTTAATAATGTTGTCACGTAGACAAGCCTTAGGATGACACAGCAATTTATTTAATGCACAACAAATTAACATATCATAAACATATCGGTAACTCAGGCTTTCCTGGAGCGAACAAATTTAGAATTCATAAAATACTAGAGAGGTAATGAATATAAAATTAATTAAGATGTTAAGAAAAAAAGGGCATTTCCTGATCGTGCAACTGAAAGTTGCTGATGGCTTTCGCCATCTATCGGAATAAATATCAACAAATCGTTGAATTTTAATTATTCCAGAATTGGCCAAATACCGTTTCTTGATTAATCAAGAAAAGCTAACCACGTACGCGTTTGGGGCCGTTGGCCCTTTTTTCTTAATTTATCTACCTGATCCAAGTACAAATTCATTTTTGTACTATTTTTCATAATTAATATGTGGTCCATGAAGTAATAAATAGTTTGCTACAATATTCTGGATAAATATGACTGGTGATAATGTCAAACACGCGTGAAAATAAAACTTTTTGATCCTTTGTATAAAAAAAAAAATACTCGTGCCCTAGTTGAAAGAATTCTACCCATCACATTCATATCTATATATAAATCTTACGTAATATAGAAACACCATGTAACATATATAAACTTGTATCATAAACCTTTGTAGATAGTTTGAGTAAGACGTGGCAACGTGTAGAGTTCGTATAAAGCGAATGGTGTACACGGGAGAAATAAATTGATGTTTTTGTCAACCCCGTGAACTGTGAAGAAGATAAAGGTTTCAAGATAAAAGAGAGAGATGCTACATAAAAAGAGAACTCAAAACTCGAAGAAGTCATTCCTTCCTTCCTAACTGACAGTCCCAAATGTTAACCTCATTGGAGACGCCGGTTATGTAAATTTCTCTTTTTGCTTATTCAGACAGAAAATTTACATATTTGTAAATATAATTGTGTATATAAGGATGTGTAAGTTTAATATAAGTGTGTCAGTTACAATCGGGTGTTGGTGAATTATTAGTGTCATCAGGGTGTTGTGGGCACTTTTAAGGAAGCATATAGGCTTCAATTCGGTTGGAGACAAGAAGAAGTCTGGCAAGAAGATACAGAAGCTCTGTCACAACTATTTAGATAAGGCCAGACATATCCAGGATGCGGCAAGCTTTACGAGCTTTGTAAGTGAGGCAGTGATCGTATCCGAAACACTCATGGTGAGGAATATTTCACGATACACAAAGATAGCCATATTAGGTAAAGTCAAATCCTCTGCAATATATAAATTAATAAATAAAATGGCTTCTGAGGGTGAATTTCTTGTTTTTTTTTTTGTAAATTCATCTCAAGCTTTTGGGTTTCACAAACCCTCCTACAGGAGTACAGGGTCAAAAGTTTT